TTGACTAATGCGTGCTACTCGCTACAATCAGTGATTGTTGGTAGGAGGCTTGGAGGCATCCTGCGTTATAGCCCGACTGTTGTAAAACCACCATTGGCACCAGGAGGTAATGATAACTTGCAGCTCAGCCGAGCTTACGTGATGGGACGCTTGCGTTGTATCCAACCCACTCTACCTTTGAAATCCATCAAATTCAAACGACAGGCCCAAGTAGAACTGGGTGTGGATGCAGTCGGTGACCAGGCCACTGCTTGTGCGCGCCACACTGTACATACCTCTATATCCAATTGGGTCAGTTCTGGTGCCCTAGTTTCTTGTTTAGTTGAGTTCTCCCAACAGTTCAATGGTAACGTTACCGTATGTAACACCACGGATAAAACGGGAACCGCGGACGCCTGTAATATTTGAACTTGGCATTAAAGCCTTAATTCTTACTGTAACACCTAAACCTCACAGTAATCTTAACCTTTAAACCGAACCTTTATCAACAATAGTACGCTTCGACTAACATTGGTGTTAATTGTATCGAAGCAGAAGATGTGATCGCTGGAAGAAGACGTTTTCTTGGCCTAACGTTTCATTTTCTAGCTTGAACCCATTATCAGCTCTAAAAGTTGGTCATTTGTGAGATTTACAGAAGGGTTGGGCTTTACTGCTAATCTTACTGTCAGGGTTATGTTCCTCTTACCACACAACGTCTTTCGCAATCTGTTACCTGGAAAATCGTAAAGCAACAGATCTAGGCAAAATAAGGTGGCACGATTCGGGTGTAACGAATAGGCGGGGTCACCAGGTCAAGTAAAGAAGGCAGGATTAGGACGGGTACGCTAGTTCAGGGGCGGAAGGGGTTACCGGCCACTGAAAACTGTTTAAGCGAGTAAGTTAATCGCGACGTTGAAGGTTAGAATACACTGGCTAACTGTGACGAAGAAATTGCTGTCGACGAGGTAACACGTGAAACTTGACGTGCAAACTATGCATGACCACTTCAACTCAAGCATACCTAATGCGTTCTACAAAAATCGATTCTCGTGTTTCTAAGTGATCCTATCAAGAAAGAAGTTTAAACTTTTGAGCGGGAATTAACAATGCCTTATATTTATGCAGTTTCACAGGTTGTGACCGCCCTGGACGACAGCTTTGGGTTAGTATGTTTTCCATGAAAGTGCATGTCCTACACAACCTTCGCAAACATTCAACTACTTTTTCAGAATGTTGAGGCAAGATCTACATAAAAACGTTTTTCCCTCTATAAATTAGTTATGCCCGAAAAATGAGAAAATGTCTGCAAGCAATCTTGCTTGAATGCACCTCTGCTTTCTTGTTCGTGTACTTAAATTTTTGTGCGGTAGAACTAACTATTTTCAACCATTCTTGATACTGTGTTTAATAGAACAAAAGCTACCAATTCGCAACTGACAATATTAAAACGTGAATTCTTTTTTTCCTTGGAAAGAATTTGATTTCTTGTGTCTGCTTCTAATTAATTTTGGTTAGCGTCAAATCCCATTTTCGAATTCAATAGGACAGGCAGCATAATCTCGTACTGCTTTTATTGCTCTCCTTTTTGCCACAGAAAATGCGTAACCTTGCCCCCCTCGACTCTCACCAGAACGCGCGTTTGCTTTTATGCAAAATGCCTCGATTTTCTTTGTGTAACTTCCTTTGAAACCAATTCCCCGGAGAAAAAATGCGTTGGATGGACCAAATAAATTTAAATTCATGTTTCACCGTTGCCTCTCCTGTCAGGTCTTGCATTCAATTTTGTTCCTGTTCGGCACAATAAGATCTGTAGACAACAACCTCACCCAACAAAGACTCGTCTGGATGACGCTTATTCGCATTTAACGCCTGCGTATCACCTGTAGTGTCGCGTTAGGCGAAAATATGTCTTGCCAGTACAAGCGAACATGCGAGTCCCAGGAAGTAATTGAGAAGAAGTCGGTGTAATCGCTGGTACAACAAATTTATTCGCCTGGCGTTTCGAAATCCTTCGCGGATCTAACCTCTGAGACGATAGCTAAGCAGGGGACAAAAAGGAAGTAGAGAAAAGGCGAATGAGGTGAAAGTTAGCACTTTCAGAATATCTTTGCGTTTCCCAAAGGATTAACCTTGTCTTTTTTTATTATTCGTCCCGGTTGCTCACATCGTGAACGTGCAAGGCTCTCACAAAAAAAAAAAACATCCAGGTGCCCATATTTTTAAAATTTCTTCATATGTTTCCCGAGAATCCTTTTTTCACGATAATGGTGCTGCAGACGGAACGAAAGTATATTCCGACATGGTACGAGAGGAGATCCAAACGACGAAAGTTATTTATTTAGTTCAACAAATTTAAAATTGTTAAAACTAGCATCTTCAAAACATAAACTCCTTTCAAAGTACCGTCCATTGAATGATATGCACTTGTATCCATGGCTTTTGAACTATTCGACACACTATTTTTATCCTTCTAAACTACGACTGACCATCATGATCAGTCTCCTGCTCCGGATCAATGACTGTGCGTGTTACCAGTGGTCACGTGGACTACTCAATTACACAGATATGACACCACTTTATGCTCACTTACAAGCCTTCCTACGTTTTTTACTCATTGGGTTTCGCTCAGAAATTCTGCTTTAGTCAGGTCAGTTAGTAACGGTGGTGCATAGTTCCGATACCGTAAATCCATCTTTCATTTTTCACGAATTTTTCGAGTGTCTCTACTTGCCATGTGCACGTTCACGTTCTTGTCTTTGTGCATTCTTCAAGTGCACTTGGTACTTTTTATGCTTCTGACCCATTTCACCCCTGCCTATAAACATATATGTTGACCGTCAAATGTAGCCTGCGGTGTCAAATATTTTCTTCTGACGCAGAATGCAT